CAAAATGAACCTCTTCGGGATCGGAATCAACTCTTCTGTTATGCACTGAAGTGGGTAGGGTTTACTATAGGGTCCGTGCGAGAATGGAAATGTCTAACGAATCCTAACAGATTATTAACATTTCGTTGGATGATCCACAGCGAGTCCTGCTACGATTACACAGGGTATAAAAACCATATATAGCTTAGATCTGATAGGCCTTCGAATACGTGATACTACTCTAGGACCACATCCCAAAGAGGAAAAGGAGATAGAGCGAAACCACACATCTTAGCCTATGGGATCCTTATTATATATAACCTTGGAAGTATACCCTCTATAGTTGTAGGTATGTCAATAAGGATCTTTTAGTTCTCACACCAGGTTATCTATGTATCCTAAATACCCCTATGGTATTTTAATTCTTGTTTGGTTCTCGTCTTTGAATTATAATTCTGGGTTTAGTGTGAATCTTTTAGCGTTCTAAAATACTCCTATAGTATTTTAACTTTATGTTTGGATCTAACAAATCCTAGTTGGTAAGTTTCAGACCTGTTGCACACCACAATCACTCCCGAGCACACGTTCATCGCATCTCGAATAAAGGTAGTTGATCAGGTTACATTTATTCCAGTTTACGATTACATGACTGCCCAGGTTTGACTATAGGGTTCAACATCCGAAGACTTTTATTCTTGTTCTTCTTGTGATACTTGTGTTCGAGTGTTTAGATTCTAGATGTTATTATACTTTGGTAAAATATGGTTATATTTTAAAGTATAATTTATTGTTCAGAGTGTTTTATCCCATTGCATTTATAGGCTGTATATCTTTTATGAATTGATATACTTAGCTCACTATAAACAATGCTCTGATACCAATCTGTCACACCCCAAAACCGGAATGGCGGAAACGTTCTGGGGTGGATGACGTCATATCAAGTATCACAACACATGCATTATAGTAGTCAAAGTACAACAAAACATTGCATTAATAGTAATAGTTTTACATGGTTACATTAAAACAATTTTAAGTAATACAAGTAATAGAATAAATACAGCATGGTACAAAGCTATCTTCATCAACAGCTCCGGGGATGTACCTGTCTAATGCTAACCTGAGAATAAAAGTTATTTGAAAAGCGAGTATCAGCATTTTTTACAAATGCTGGTGAGTTCATAAGCATTTAGTGACATTTCATTCAAATAATTTAAGAAAGTATTAGTTTAAGAGATTTCAGTGTATTAGAGTCCTTTCCAGAAAATCCTATATTTTCTTCAATAAAAGCAGCCTTCTACCAAAGACTGGTTAGTGATGTGGGGTAAAAAGTAGTTTTCCCTAAATTGCTATCATTATCAAAATACTGAATTTGATTATTAAAGAAAGCAAGAGACATCAGGGAATAACATATGCCTCAGCAGTGAGGACTGCTGGCTAACGCAAAAGAATCATAAACTCTAGGAGAGTATCGAATTAGCGTCATGCCTGGTTCAGTCTAACAAATGGAGACACAGACCCCAGAAGGTACCAGATGAAAGGTACAGCTGGTAAGGTCTAAAACAGTGAACACAGACCACAGACGATACCAAATGAAAGGTACATCTTGCAAGTTCATAGCAGTGAAGACAGACCGCAGACGATACCAAATGAAAGGTACATCTCGCAAGGTCAAAACAGTGAAGACAGACTGCAGACGATACCAAATGAAAAGTACATCTCGCAAGGTCAAAACAGTGAAGACAGACTGTAGACGATACCAAATGAAAGGTACATCTCGCAAAGTCAAAAAAGTGAAGACAGACCGCAGACGATACCAAATGAAAGGTACATCTCGCAAGGTCAAAACAGTGAAGACAGACTGCAGACGATACCAAATGAAAGGTACATCTCGCAAAGTCAAAACAGTGAAGACAGATCGCAGACGATACCAAATGAAAGGTACATCTCGCAATGTCAAAACAGTGAAGACAGACCGCAGATAGTATCACATGAAAGACACATCTAGCAAGGTCAAACAGTGTGACTCTGAAAAAGGTGACATCAGCATATAGTGTAAATTGCTGACGAAATACCGTTACCTTAAAACCATGAATTATAAGGCACCCCAGGATACTTGTAACCATACTGACTAGAATAGACGCCCTACAAGCATCTATACAATGTGACATTTGTCACCACTTGGCTTGGTAGGCCTTGGACTGTAGCTAGCAGTCAGGGTGCGGGGTTGTCAATCCCGTATAGGCCTATACACACAATGTCCGCTCTCCCTACAGGAGACTCTGGTTACCAACTAGATGACGGAGAAGGCCGCGTCCCGAAGATGCATCCCAAATAGAGGATAGTGTGTTACTAGGAGGGAGTGGGTTTCTAATGTAAGTGTAGACTAGAGGTAGAGACTCTTAACATAACTGACTGGAGAATTCCCTGTATGTCCATACTCACATACATAGTATATAAGTAATGAACCAAACGACTATCGGATGACCATCCGATCCCACCAGACCACATCTCAACGAAGAAAAGGAAATAGGGCGGATGAGCTTTCCTAAGTCTTTCAATCGTTACTTATATGTATCTATATAAGCATAGACGTACATCTAACTACGACTGAGTGTGTAATAATGGAAGACATATCGTCGTGGTGTGAGTTCATACAGTGTGGAATAACAGAATCGTAAAGTATAAGTGTATCAAGTATAAGTGATTTTTGTGAAGTAGGAGTGTCTAACGAGTGAAGTAGGAGCGGTCGCAAGTGAGGTATAAGTGTCGAACAAGTATAAACGTATCACGAAGTAGAGGCGACGATAAGCGAAGTGAGAGCGTATCAAGTATAAGTAAAGTAGAGTCGTTATCAAGTATTAGTGAAGAAGAAATCGTATCACTAAGTAAGAGCGTGAATAAGTATAAGCGTCATCAAGTATAAGCGACTACAGGTATCAGTGAAAGTGTTACCGAGTCAGAGTATAAAATAAGTATAAGTGAAGCAGCAGTATTTAATAAGTAAAAGTATACGTCGAAAAGGGGAATCTTTAATGAAAAACCTTTATGTACAGAGAAAATCACAAATTGTATTCCTTTGTAAAATACGTTTAAAACCTTAGAGGATCTTTCATAAACCAATTTAGAATGAATTTGAATAAATCAGTATAAGTAAAAGTTATGAAACAGGTAAAAGTCATTTTAGTGTCCCACTCGGTAAAACAGTGTAAAGTGGTAAAATCTTGTGCATGTGGGTTATCAATCATATGCGATTGACATGATAACTGGCATGTTTAACTTGTATTCCCCCTATAAAACATTTAAAAGCATTTAAAAGGTTCATTCAGGGGTATGAACTCACCTGGAGTAAGTAGGTCCGACGAGAGTGTTGTTTGGGTGTTCGGTGCTACGTAAGGACTCGAACACACACAATGACCTGTTTAACATATGATAACATATGTTTACATGTGATTAGCACATTTAATACTAATTAAACAAATATACACGCATCACAGGAGCGGAAAACACTTTGGCTAAGTGTTTGGGTGTCCCGGGTAGCGTTTAAGGGTGTGAATGGCTAAGGAATGGAGTTTGCTATCCAAGAATACCCCCCTTAATACATAGTTTACGGCCCTGGGACTACTCACCATGAGTTTACGGCCGTAAACTCATGGTGATGGGTTCTAGGGTGTTTTAAGGCTTCTAGCTTGTTCATGGGATTTTTCTAAGGGCTTTTCATAAAAGGCATGAGTGGATTTGAGGCTTCTAAGGGCATTATATTGGAGTTTACGGCCTATGAACACTCCCATGGGAGTTTACGGCCGTAAACTCTCATACCTTGGATATTGTGAAGTTTAAAGTCCCTAATGCCTTTCTAGTGATTTCTAATGAAGTATGATGCTATTTTTGAGGATTAAAACCATCATTTGAGTGGGTTTTGGGGAGTTAACGGCCTAGATAAATGCTTGGGCCGTAAACTCCAAATCAAGCCTCATATCATTGTGTTTAAGTCCATAGATCCTTTCTAGCATTTAATAGAAATAGTCTAAGGTCATTTGGGGGACAAAAACCAACATTTTGGGCATGTTTAAGGGTGTTTACGGCCTTAACCCTTGTCTAGCCGTAAACTCCCTTTAATAATTCATTTTGGAGTGTTTCAAGGGTCTAAACTCAAGAGGATAAGTTCCTAAATTATGTATGAAGCCCTAGGATGAGTTTGGAGTGCATTTGGGACCATGACTTGGGGAGTTTACGGCCTAAGCATGTGCTTGGGCCGTAAACTCTTCTTTAAGTCCTAAATCCATGTATTTTAGTGTTTACACACCCCTAAGCTATATCCCCTAATAGTTTCTAAGCTTGTGGACAAGTTTAGAGGCATGTTTGGCAGCATTTTAGGGGTTTACGGCCCTAGAGTGTTCCTGGGCCGTAAACTCCTTATTCCATGCCTTCTTGGATGATTTTTGGGCTATAAACATAAATCACTATGTTTAGAATAAGCTAGGGTAAGCGGACTTACAATTTGGAAGCGTTTGGTTGTAGTTTCGGGGTGAAAACGAATCTAGAGAGAGAGTATAGAGAGAGAGTGTAAAAAGTTTCCAATAGGCTCCACTCACCCTTATATAGGGTTTTGAGTTAGGCTCCATGGGATTTTACCCGATACTGCCGTTAAACGGGGCTTTTGGTCGCACCCGATTTAGTGGTCGTAATAATAAACTAATATTTCCATGTAAATGGAAATATGTGTTATGTATTTTTATTTCCTTTTATCACGACTTAACGGCATATAAACATACACAATTGAAATGTTTGTTAAACTTGACGACTTCTCATTAACGGAACTTTTGAACAGTGGATTATTCCGTTAACGGTAACGAAGAAGTGTAACGGGGCAACTTGGGTTGTCACAACAAGAGTCAAGAGTTTGAGTATCCTCAAAACTGATTCAGTTAGAAGTCAACTTCTGGCCTCTTGAATGCATATCCTGATTAGATCCTAAAAAATCAGCCCCTTCATCTTTATTCAATTCTTTTCGAGGTCAACACATGTATGAATCACCCGTACAAGTCAACCAGGAGACTGTAGATGCAATGCTACAAAAACTTGGTGAGTTTCATCCATCTCTTGTGCATGTGATGGGTATTTACTATTTTTTTTAATCATGTTGGATATTTCACGGAGGTATAATGTAAACACAGATTTCTGAGGCGATGGACATTAGAACAAGACAAGGGCTACTCAATGCAATGGCTGGAAAAGTGGGGAAAAGAATGGATGCTCTTTTGATTCCTCTCGAGTTATCATCCTGTGTTTCTTGAACCGAATTTTCTGACAAAAAAGCTTACATAAGATGTCAAAAGAGACAAGTCAGTCCCTTCTCTCTCTGTTTTGTTTCGTAGCCTTATCGTATTATTCATGGGCATGTATAAGTAAATTTTCAACTTTAACTAATATTGATGTAAGATGTTTGATCCAATGTTATGTTAGTTCAGTTGAATATGTTGGAGGAAGGACTTATGAATCACCCAGTTGTGGGATTTGGAGAATCTGGTCGCAAAGCAAGTGAAATGAGGATTCTATTGGCAAGAATTGAAGAATCTGAGGTTAAAATGAGATCTTTTTAGTTTTTACATATGCTATGCTCTATTGCTCTTACTTTATCATTTTTTAAATTTGTCTTATTTCAGTCATTTGCACCTTCTGTGGGTGAACTTCAACGCATAGAATGTTTGAGATCTCTAAGGGAGATTTCCATTGCACTTGCAGAGAGGCCAACTCGTGGTGACTTAACTGGTGAAGTATGTCATTGGGCAGATGGGTATCGTTTGAATGTCAGATTATATGAGAAACTTCTTTCCAGCATTTTTGATGTTCTAGATGAGGGGAAACTAACTGAGGTATGTAAATTTTATATCCAATGTTAAGCATGATGTTGTTATAAATTGATTAAATTCCCTCCCTCCACCTATACCCTTACAAACCATGGTAGCATGATTAACATTAAACTTCTAATGTTGTATTTACTAGTGGAGTTAAATGCAAGAAGTGGCTACATTTTTGGGTAGATTTAACAAGCCTTAAGAAAGAAATGGAAGTAGCATATGATGATGATGCATAACAAACAGCTATATTTTATGAATGTATGCAGGAAGTGGAAGAAATACTTGAACTTCTAAAGTCAACGTGGCGTATCTTGGGAATAACAGAGACTATTCATCACACCTGTTATGCATGGGTGCTATTCCGCCAGGTTATAACAAAACATAAATGAATGAATCTTTCAAGAAATTATCTCAGGTTCCATCTTTTTCTACAAATCACCCAATATTTCTACATATGACAATAATACCCCTATATAAATATAACATATTTATCTTTTTTTTCTTCTTATAGAGAACAACTTGGTTGGGAATATTTTACATGTGCATACCTACAGGAATTGCCCTTGGTTATGTTTATGGTGGATGGGTAAATTTGGCAAGAGAACAGGTTGGTTTATGAAATCCTTCATTTATTTTCATGATATTATCCAAACAATTTAATTTCCAATTCCAAAAATTTATTTATTGCTAACTTATTTACAAATTTTTCTTCCTCATTCTCAAGGAATTGGGCCCACACAAGGTTGGAGCACTTATATAGGAAGGTTAATTCATGTAAATTTTAAGTTTTGTTTTATGATTTTCAAGGTTCTGTTCGTTACATTTTTATTTTTGATTTAAATATTGTGTCTGATATGGTGTTTGTTTGGTTTTGGGTTTTGGTTAGGAAGTTTGAGCTCGGTAAGTTCGAGCAACATCTATGGTGGCCCGAGCAGCATCTATTTCAATATTGATTGTGTGAAAGTCATCTACTAAAGCAAGGTTGGTGTAAGAGTTGATGATGCGAACATTGTTCCAAGACCTTTAGTGAGTTATGATGATGTCCCTTAATAGCAACGTAGTATTAGGTTATGTAGTTTGCCATGATTATTTGTATTTGCATTTTAGTGCAATGAATTATCTTTCTTATTTATTGTATTTTATTATTTATTTTGTATGACATTAACTTTTATGCAATGGATTGTATTTTTTGTATATGGTATTTTATTTTCTATTATGAGACATGAAATGCAAATTTAATTTGAAAATTAGTAAACCTATAAATAATTTTTTTTAAAAAATAAAAATAAAAATTATGATACGCAAAAATGTGTGTCATCTTCATTTATGACATGGCCTTTCTTGACAGCGACTTTAATGATACGCATTGTGTGTCATAAATGTGTGTCGTAAATGCTCGTCGTCTATAGACGACGCGCACAAGCACATCGTCTCTCGTTATGACAGGGCCTTCCTTGACGCGCATTTGCGCGTCGTCTGAGCCTTTTATGACGCGCAATGAGCGTCGTAAAAGGCCTTTTTTCTAGTATACCTTGATCTCTTTTATCCTAGAATCTCTCTTGTGTAAAGTTTAGGGTTTCTTTAGCTTATTGATGAAGGGATTTTTGTGTGGGAGCTAGATCTAATGTTGAAACTTCAGATCTGAACCTTCCTTGAGTCCTAAGTTCATAATGTTCTCAATATTGTCATGAAAGAACCCTTCCTTATGAGTAAAGCTTCATTCCAAGCTTGGGTTTGGATTTTGAGGCACACAAATATGTAAAGGTAGCAACATCACATTGCTAATGCACTCTAGGGACCTAGATCTACTGTTTGGATTGGGGGAATAGTTCAGAATCACTTGATCATGGGAGTATTCATATAGACTCGACGAGTCTGGGAGATGACTCGGTGAGTCGAGTAGAGTTTTTTCTGAATTGGTCCCGTGTGGACTCAGCGAGTATAGGAGATGACTCGGCGAATCAGTTTGGGTTTCCAAGCACTGGGTCGCGTATTGACTCGGCGAGTTGAGTCGAATAACTCTTGAATCAGTAGGGACCCAATGGAGGGAAAGTTTCACTCAACATATAGGCCAACATGGATTGTTGACCATCTACCAGTGACTTTGACTTTGACTAGGGAGTGTCTTGTGCCTTCCAATGGCTTTTTGGTAAGTTGAGAAATTATTAAGTGGACCACCTATGGGTACAGGCGAGGTGGTTGAAGCTACTTCCGGAAGTTTGGACAATATTATTTTGAGCAGCTAGTGAGGTGAGTTATCCTCACTATATCACTAGGGTCTAAGGCACCAAGGCCAGCCCTTAAGGTTGTTATTCAGATTATACTATGTTGTATGTGGTTATGATCTGTTAGATCGGTATCCGGATAGACAGGATGTTGTTATGCTTCACGACCCGTTAAGATTGGTATGTTAGTGACCTGGTTAGGTATTCTGGTTATAAGTGATTGCTATGATAGATGATCTGTGAGGTAGTTATATATATATATATATATATATTATATATATATATATATATATATATATATATATATATATATATATATATATCCCAGTATATGTTATTTATGTGCACATGGTTGTTTGTTTGATGGTTGGGTTGAGGCGGTCCTGCTTTGTGCTGAAGGTCAACACACCCGACGAGCAGTCCAAATAGACTGTGGGCCATGCATGACGGTCCAGTCATACCAAAGGCTCAAGATAGATCCAGATAGACTGTAGGCCTCGTAAGGCGGTCCAGTCAGGTTGAAGGTCTAGTATACATGTTGTAATTTGTTATTGTTATTGTATTATTAGTGTAGTATTGGTACTTTGGGGGTAACTCACTAAGCTCTCGGGCTTACAGTTTCAGTTTATTGTTTCAGGTACATCAGGAGATCGTGGCAAGGAAAAGGCGTGACTGTATCGCTCCTCATCCTTATGATTTTTTTTTCTGGGACACTCTGATGAATAATATTTTGAAAACAATTTGTATAATACTAATTGGTTTTAATGGATGAAAAATTTTAAAATTTGGCTTAAATTTTTAGGATGTTACACTCAGAAGTATGTTTTTGGGAATTTATAGAAACAATATGCTATCTTAAGGGACTATTGACTAGACTTGATGGAAAGCAACCCATGTATTAAAGTGAATATCGATTGTCAAACTGAGAAAAATTTAAATTTTGATACAAGGACGTTTAGGAGAATTTACATTTGTTGAGGAGCATTAAAGGAAGCATACAAGGCTAATCTAAGGGATTTCATAGGGTTAGATGGTACTTTCATGAAAGGTCCCTATCCTGGTTAAATTTTGTGACAACCCGATATTTCAAATCAATATAATGACCTAAAAAGTCAAGAATTGTAATCTCTTTTGATATAACGAAAATAGCATCAAAAATAAAATGTTCAAAAGTTTCTATTGGGTTGCCTAAAATGATAGTTATCATGTCAAGGTTTTCAGAAATATAAAGATCACTAAAATCTGAATTATAACGAAGAAGTTATGACTAACCTACGATTCACAGCAAAACCGTCAATACAATTAAACGTAAAACGCGAAGATTTAATAAAATACTTTTTAACCATAAGTATCTAAATGAAAGTCGTAGATATCATTAAACCGTGAACATACATAAAAAGAACGTCCAAATCTGACTTCATACGAGGAAGATCCGATCTTTCGAAGTTTCGGATGTAGCAGTAGACAGCTAAAAACCCGAAATAGAGATCGAGGGATTTATGGCCGAAAAAATCTAAATGCGAGTCAAAGATCTCAATGATACTAGCGCAATGGTAAAAAGTCTGGTGAAAACGGACGACGGATGAAGAAGTTATGGATTTTTAATTTACTTTTTGTGTCCCGACCTGCTAAAAATGATATATTAAAAATAAAGTTAAAATTAGCCGACGGAGTTTAAACGAGTTGTAGAGTATATTCTCACCTTCAGGTGCATATAAAGAACGTCGAAAACGGAGCTCATACACGAAATTTTTGCATTTTACAAGTTCGAGACACAAAATCCGAGGCTCGGCGTTTTAACCCCTGAAGGCATCCCGAAGCCCCAGTCTTCACATCCATGTTTCGAAGGAAGGTTTTACACTTCCAAGATTCCCGAGAATCCCGAGAAATCAACATTCTCCTGTCGAAGTTCTGCTCGGTTTTCATCTCACCATCTTCACTCTATCAAGTGAGTTCATACCCCTATAACTACGTTTTCAAATGCTTTGTAAATTCTTTTATACACTTTTAAAAGGGGAAATACAAGTAAACACACTATTATCCTCGTGTGAAAACCATCAATCTCTTGCTATAGTTTTTGTTATAATCAATCATATGTGACTTATAACTACCATACGAAAACATTCTCATACAACATATCATGATAACACTTTGTCTTTTCGGAATGAAACATGTTGTTATATAAATATCAAACACTTTATTCATACTTTCGGTATAAACGTTCAATAATGTTATACTTTACATACAAAGTCAACACTACACTAGGGTTTACCATACAAACGAAACATACTTTGGGAAAAACTATAATAGGTAGAGTTTACTAGTTATTCAGGAGATTTTACATACTATGAGTACTATAGCAAAGAAATACTTTCAAATATAAGAACTAATGGAATTTTCATATGTAAATATATTTGATACTAAGTTTTTTGAGACATTCAACTTCACGTACTTTCAAGTATGTAGTTAAAGTCTTGTATTATATACCATAATTTCTTGTAGGGAGAGCATGATACTTGTATATAGATCTATACGGGATTGACAATCTCGCGTATAAAGTGTTAGCTACAGTTAGACTAGTAGGTCTGGGGTGACAAACGTCATATCATTCCAACGCCTGAAGAACGTTGTTACAGGCAGTCTAGGTCAATAGCATGGTTATAAAACTCACATGGAGTATTAAAAACACGATGATTTACGATGTTATAAAATGTCTTAGGGATTTTATACATACCTAAATCTGATATTCTAGGCATGAAAAACTACTAATGCATTACAGTTTTGGAACTTTTAAACTACCACACACTCTTGGAAAAATATAGGACTTTTTAGAAACAAACTCAGTGATTTTACACCAAACCTACAAATTTTATACCTAAACGCTTATGAATTCACCAACTTAATTGTTGACACTCTTTCAAACTTACTTGTATTTCTCAAGGATTCAGTAATACATGTAAACTTTAGCTTTTGGAGAAGTGACGCTAAGGCGTCAGTTTAAAACTCATTTTGTCATCATATTGTAATTTCTTTTGAAACAACTATCATTCAACTATGTAAATTTTAATTATATATATGACGATTGTTTTACTTTCTTTTAGTACGTATTCAACTGTTACGATACTACATGAAGTCATTCGCCCTCGAACGATTCTGCCATTCTGGTTTGGGGGTGTGATAGATTGGTATCAAATCATTGTTTATAGTGAACTAAGTATATCGAAACACATAAGATATACAAAATATAAATTCATAGGGACTAAAACTCTCCGAGAAAATGTTTTTACACCTAAACCGCGTTTCAATTAGCTTAAATTATTTGGGTCATAAAAGCACAAATACATGCATACAACGAGTCATTTTCATAGTTAGAACTATAAAAGAAGTATTAAGA